TTAATTCCGGGATGATACTATGGTATGGCTGACAGTCTAAGGTAAGAAGGGGAGTCAGTGCAAAGAGAGAGAGGGGCTAGACCCTCTAGACGCACATGGCCAAATGAAGTAGAGTTGCTAATCGAGGAGCAATCTTAGATAGGAAAGTAAAATACAAGAAAAACGAAAGCAATTCACGGGGAAGATACGATGATATAAGAATAATACTGGAAGAGAGAGAGCAACGCAGAGAGGGAAGAAGAAAAAAGGAAAGTCAAGAGAGTGGAAAGGACGAGAGAAAGAGTGGATGATGGATGACGGACTGGTTCTGGGCGGAGGAAACGGGCGTATCCATACGGAATGATATCCATACAACATACACTCATACACATACACATACACATACACATACACATACACATACACATACACATACACATACACATACACATACACATACGGAACCAGTAATAATCCTGGGAAACTAACCATCCTTACCTTTTCCAGAAAATCACAGCGTCAACATTTTTTGGGTTCCCGCCGTAAGAAGAGAAAATCCACGCAGGGATACTGCAGCCTCACATTAATTAATTTCATTCCTACAGTAGAATGATTATCCACTTCTGAGAGCGTTCATTCTTCTTCTTCTCCTCTCCCCGACCACGGTCTTGAACTCTCCCATGTCTCTCCCAGGGGAAAACTACTCTTGCAGGACCGGTATGAATGAATGGATGTATCATGAATCATGAAAATTATATTGGGTCCCGCTGGAATTAAGTTCCTTCGACTGAAACCAACGGGGGACACAAAACCACCTGGAACGCAGGTATTACCAATACCGTACCGACCTCCCGCTCGACTCGAGTGCTTCCGGTGGCGACCCATTTTAGCTCGTGGTTTTTAACGTTGCCGGGGATGTTCTCGAAGCTGTAGCGCGCTAAAGTAAATTAGACCCGTAAGGATTCTCTACTTGCTCTTCACGAGAGGAAAAGTCTTGACATAATCATGATAATAATCAGAATCCTTCACATGTAACCATACCCGGATCTCTGGCGGAGTGTGGTCCAACGATCCTGACCTATATCATGTTTTGTTAAAACAAAACCCCCCCTCCAAAATCCGAGAACAATTGAGCCCTGATGTACCTAGGATTAATCGAGAACATCCCAACCACTATGTCGGGAAATCTAAACTATTTCCGTAGTTATTTTAAAACCTGAACGGATCCATTTTTCTTAACCGACGGTTAAAATGTAACAGATGAACTCGCACTAACATTAGGCATAGGTACGAATTAGTAGTACTTTTCCTTCATGAGCTTAGATTCAAATTCGAGGATTCCACTTTAAAGTACCCGTTCGGCCGTATTTGGGAGTAAACTCCGCCAATGACCGTGCCGAATGGTCTGTCTCAAAGATGCAAAATAATGGAACTGAGAACCGCACCCCGAATCACTCTCTGGTTGGTAGTTGACATCCCGAATATCGTACCTGTACACCATCAATGGGTCAAGGGATTTAGGCCGAGGGCGCGTTCCGAATGTCTCTTGAATCCTTTGTTCAGGGACCAGAACAATGGTAACCAACAAAAATCCCTTCATGAATAAGATCTTACGAACCCGGCCGATATGCGAGGACGAAGCTTTCGGCTTCTGACCGAGACAAAGTAATCAAGGAAAGAAAGGGTCACAACGGGAGAAGAGGAACAATCTCAGCGTCAGGAGGTACAGAACAGAAATATTGGAGGCGGGTTCTTGAATCGTGGACAATGCGTCTTGCATGCATATAATTACACAGACCATCCATCGGGCCGACCTTTGGGCTCATGGTCCATATCCACGGTCGACGTATAACAGCCCGTATTATGCATACAAGGGGGGAGGGGGAACATCCACATGCTTTCTCTCCCTCCCTCTCTCTCTCCCTCTCTCTCTCTCTCTGTTTTACTAGGGCCAAGGTACGCTTCCGGAAGATTGAGTGACCTCTCCGCTCATCGGATTCCTTCATCATATCCACTCCAGTCTCGACCGGAGCAATCAGCAGAGAGGAGACATGACAGACCGGCTCGATGGCATCGGGCACCGGCCTACCACTGAGAAAAGAGGTGATACCCTCGAGGGCAAAAAAGGCCCATGCGCTACCGGCGGGGCGGACTCAATCAAAAGCCAGCACTCGGGCAAGCCCGTCTGGCCCGGACGAGCTCCGAAGACAGGAACCTCTCTCCTTCGTTCGGCCCTTCTTGGGGATAAATTACATGACTGGAGCCACCTGCACATGGCTTGACTGCTAGATTTTAGAGTTTATCCTTTCGTTGTCGTCGTTCCCATGTACTTTAGTATATCAAGGCATCGACAAATGGTACTTTTTTGCCTTTCTATAAATCACATCCGCTCATTGGTGGGTTTCCATAGAATGTTAGTAGATGATGAATAGAATGTAAAGCTTTTTTCTACGCTCCCCACGAAATGATCGGAGTCTATGCAATGACACTGCCGAAATCATCGTCTATGCCACTGGGGCCCAACGACGGATTGGGAAACCAATGAAGCTGTATCAATCGAATTTTTGTGTAGGATGCCTCGTCTCACCGGCGAGTTTCCATTCCTATCTTACCCGATCTGTGTATCCATCCGGTTCCCGCCTGCGGTATCATACGTATGGTCATCCCGTTTCATGCCTGTAACCGACCGGACGCTAGGGAAGTACAGGGGCCCCAATGCCTATAGCCTCTTTTCTCTCCCTCATGCGAGACAGTCTACGCAGTCTACAGCCTCTTCTGTCCTATGATGTCCACTAAACGAAGAAATAAGCAAGGGGCATCCACGATTCAAATGAATTCGGATCCACTCTCGGGTGGGGTGTCTGTCATCTTGTTCGAGGTAGCAGCAACGATCGATCATCGCTTCTGTCTTGTGTCTGGATGCCCAGTCCGGGTAGATGAGCTTCAGTCGGGATTAATTTCAGCCAGACAAGTCTTCACGGTTGGTGTCAAGCTGCACAGCATGCAGTAGTTGCTCCATCCCCTTGTCCTGAGATGTCGGGTTTACCCGATCGTAGTGAATGTAAGCACCACTACGTCCAACACCCAATTGTGGGTGCCATTTAGAATAGCGTAGAGAGCAAGATTTTGCATACGAGCAAATAGAGCTTCATACATCTAGACGGTAAAGGACCCAATCTGTCAAGGCGAGCATGAGCATGCCAAGAGGATCAAGGCTGTCTGGAAGGGAAAAACAAAAAAAAAAAAATATCACGGCCGTTAAGGGGATGATACCGCCGTGGGATGACCAGGCATAGTGCATACTCTGTGAACGGCAAATGTGCACTGAATAGCGGGGTAGAGACAGCTTTTCGAACCAGCTGTCAGTTCGCACCTCCCTAAGCAACCGTCGTCGAGCCAGTGGTGTGTCTTCCTTGTTTTCCTCCATTTTGCTTTTCGTTGTCTTTCGGCCCCACGGGATGCACAATCGCGAGGTCCACCGCGCTAGTGGTTGATAATCATATTAATTCCATTGCCCACATAGCAACGATAACCTGGAGAGATAACGGCGATAAGCTGATAAGCCTGTAATTTGACTTGGTCATCGCAGCCAATGGGTATCTGTCGATCGGGACCGAGGTGAGTTAGAATCGTATTAAAGTGCAGAGATGCATGTCGGCTCTTCCTCGGGGATACCCAGAAGCGTCAATAACTCAAGGTTCGGATAATTAACGTCTTCTTCCCCCTTTTGGTTTCAGATTCCTTTTTTGGGTCTGGGGTTGAGGGGGAGTTTTTTTAATTTTTATTTTTTCTTATTTTTCCTTTCGCCTCAAGTCGATCGCGTGAGGATCGAAATTGCCCGACAATAAAGAAACCTATTCAGAACGAAAACGACGTCAGCCTTGTTCCGGGGGCGTGGCAAAAGCAACAGAAACTCCAAGAATCTAACGGGATAAAGTTCAAGTGTGAGAGGCCGGCTGCAGGCCAAGATCAAAGAAAACGCAACGAAGTGGGCAAGTGGCGTGCAGATTAACCACTAAAAGACCACCACTGCCGTTCAAGATCAACCCACTCAACGGGACTAAATGCTGAGAATCCCTTTTTCTTTCTCTCTCCGTCGAAGCAATGTCAGCGTATAGGATGAGAATGGAAGACGACACCACGCCACGCCACGCAACACGAGACCTTAGGGGTTGGTCCCTCTTTGGTCCGGATGCATGGTGAAGGCTTCCGGCGGGGGTTCTTGGGACAATCCAGTAGAAATCAACTGAGGCGTGTCGCGTGCCTGAGCTAACCCATCGAGGTAAGTATGCCGTCGCCAAGGGTGGGAAGTCGCCTGCAAGTTACAGTCGGAATCGTAATGGCAAACAGATGGACATCTTCTGGCAGTGACTTACTAAGGAGTAGGGTAATAATCACGGAGGGTCGCCCACCAATCACAGGGTCATTATCGCAAGGGATAGTGAGATAGACCGACTTCTGGATGACGCGGTAGAGGAAGATCATAGTAATTGCCTCCGACCATAATAGCAACGGGCAAGAAACAATGGACAGAGACAGAGGTGTGACGTAGCCAACGCGGGTCAAAATGTCGGCAAATCTGTTGGAGTGCGTCACAAAGGATGCCGGGAGACAGACATCGATGGCGCAGTCAAGCACCATTGTCCATAGTCCATACCAACATCGCCCCATCTGGAGATAGTGTTCAACCCCAGCCTGGGAGGGTTTGGCGATGTGGGGATGCGCTGTCCGAGGCGTTCAATCATGATGGCCACAATGGTCATCGAGGTCCTGATAGTGATTGTTGTTATCATCATCATCCGTATTACCATTCTTCCCAGACAATGATAATAAATAGCGACAGTAAAATCACTCTATCTATGATCGATCATCCCCTTTCATTATCTTCGAAGCGAGAAGCAGATGCAAGTCTTTCCATCTTTTTTCTCGCGGGTCCAGCGGATACTCCGGAAATAGCAAAGGCGACAACAAACCCCCCCTGCAGTGGTAATTGACTAGAGTGGCAATAATCTCTCATGCAGGAATGCAGTAAGAGCACGCGTAGCGAGGGCTGTGTCAAGCAGCCAGGACGACGAGATGAAATCAATGCGGATTAGAATGGATCAACCCACTGAGCGAAGTTAGATACAAAAAGGCGGGGGGAATGGATTTTATTCAGGCAGCTACCCATCCAGCCATGAAGTTCATCGTGGTTGCCTCTTTTTCTTTTTCTTCAATTCAAGTTCAATCGGGGGTGGTAGCCTTGGGCCGAAAGAAGTATAGCTTTTGGCGACGAGGACGTGGAGATAGCATACTTAATTACGCGCATCTCTCCAGTCGACGTTTCTCTCGCTCGCAAAGTTCACTTCTTGCGCTGAAAGAACTTTAATCTCTCGATGCATCAGGAAAGGAATGAGAGAGATAACCCTGTGGACATCCCACCGAGTTATATATGGCCTTTGTGGCCCGATCACTTGTATCATCACCCAACGGGAGAGTGAAAAGACGTGATAGAGAAGGGGCGACAATGTTAGTCCAATGGGGACGGGGAGCAGACCTTTTGTACAAAATCTTGGGGTCAAACATAACAAAGCCGACCGTCGGCCTTCAGGCATCAACCGTGATAACCTCCTGCAGGTGTTCGAGATAAGAACGGTTACATTCACAGGATCAGCCCCAACATTCCTGCAAGGCAAATCAAATGAAACGGAATGTTTGGATCCTCGACCACCGTTATCTCTCCCTTCCTCCCCCTTGTCCCCGTCCTACGTAAACCACGATAACAAGTTGAGGCGATTTGTCTCCAGGTCTCCATCACTCTCCGCAAAACAACCCCGGATAGGGCCATTCCCTTTATCGTCTTAAAAGCGTATTGACCTGGTAGGGTCTATGGTTCCCACTCTAGAGCCATCATCGCTGCAAAGCACCGCCCATTAAACCTCTCCAGAGAGTGTCAATGCGTCTCAACGGCCTATCTTCTGCCAGTCAGTTAACATCAACCCCGCGGAGACATGGAAGTCATACACTCCCGTTGTCACCTAAGTCTGCATTATGATAAGCAGCAGGCACTCATCATTGGCAGATCCGATAAAATGAGCTGCACATTAATCTTGGGCAGTATCGAATAAGGTACCACCGCCAATAGCACTGAAAAGCATAACTTTAGTACATATATTGCTTGGATATCACGTCATTGTAGTCCTGGATAAGATCTTCTTACCCGTTTCCATGCACATGTGTTCCAATATCTGGCGAAAAGGGTAAAGTTTCGGTGGACGTTGGCTAAATAAGAGGAAACGTCCCCGTACCAAGAGGTCATCCACGTCCTCTAACTTGTTGATTGCTGTCATTCAGGGTAACCCCATCAGCGTCTGAATTGATCAAATGTACTACTTTACTTTACTTCACCGCCACTCGTCGATATCGAGGTAGCCACAGAGCTGAACCGCTTACACTCAAGCTAGAAGATATACCTACATTTATTCTAAATGACGCAATATGCCTTATCAATTCCTCTCCAAACAGCGTATCTACACTGACTTACCTAACTTTACCCCTTCTCAAACACTCTACACTAAACCAGACATCTTGACATAAAGCTGAGAACTCCACGATAACCCTGAAGCAATATCCCCATCACCCTACACCGAGATTCACACAGACACCTCCACCTTATCAGCCATCTACCTAATCTACCACCGACAGCACCTTGAGTATCGCATTCTCCTTGTACCGTCAGCATCGGCGATCATCTCGGAAGCTGGTGTTGAAGTTCAGTATGACAATTATACCCGTAGCTATCCACAAAATGATGTTCTTCTATCTTTGTTGTAGAATATGCGGGACCTCAATCGGCCAATATGCTGGAATACCGATTTGTACTATTCATCCAGTGTAGTGTGGTGAGCATCGATTTTGGGGGGGGGGGGGCCGCGGAGGGGGGCTAGGTTAACATTGATCCATAGTCGTTGAATTCTGTGATCTTGTGTGATTATGTCTTGGATGGTAGGATGGTGTTGAGTTGTATAATGATCGTTGCTGGCGGTATTGTTATTGAATGGGGATAGGCTTTGGTAGCGTCAAGAATGGATACTTCTGGTGTGTGATTGATTCCTCAACATGTTTAGACATGTGTCCCATCAGGACTACCAAAGACGTAACATACTCGACCACAGATGAACGTCAGTTCTATAGATGTCATCTTCATTATCGTCCTATCAAGCCATGTCTATCTGGGATATATCCGTCCATACAGCAGAAATCTATATTTCGTTGAAGAGAAAAGAAAGGTAGAAAAGGTCTATGCGGCAGAAGAGATGATAGATAATGATAGAAGGGAAAGAGAAGTATATCAGCGTCAACAGGAACATGTCGAATCAGTCCATCAGGGGGTAATAATGCAAAAAGAAAAGGCTCAATCAAGAGACGTAAAACCATAGTAACCTTTCAGGTCCACCAGTCATTCTCCACCAACCGGGAATGAAACGAAGGTGACAATTCAGCTCTCAGGTGGGATGGGATATAAACGAGTGAATCGCTGCTTGGTGGTCATGTTTGGCAACTAGTCGATCATATTGTGGCGACGAGAGTCAACGCATGGTGTACTTAGATCACTTTGCCCACAGGCCCAGTTGGCCAAACGTCTACCCTCGCCACTAGACCTATTATCAATGACACCTGTCCCGCTGGTGCTCTAACAACATAGCTCGTAAAACCAGACATGGATATCCAATGATGAAATAGAAAAAAAAAAAAAAAAAAAAAAAAAAAAAAAAAAAAAAAAAAAAAAAAAAAAAAAAAAAAAAAAAAAAAAAAAAAAAAGCTGAAGTGGTAGAATGAGGACAATGACATCAGAGATCTAACTGTTCCCTTGTGTACAAATGTCACCTCAAATACATGTGTAGAAAAGGGGTCTCACGGAAGAAACGAAGATGGAAAATGCCGCCCAAAATCCTTTGCGCCCGCTAATGAATAGCTGTAAAGGAAATGCCCACGATGGAAAGGTGGAGGGTAGAAGAATAGATGCAAAAAAAAAAAAGATCGCACTGGGTATTATGTAACGGAAGCTTCTTCTTTTTTTTTTTTTTTTTTCTCGCTGAAATCAATGCTGACGTGCTAGTTCATCACCGGGGAGACTGTCGTTGGCCCGGGTGGCCCATCGGGGGTGGACTGCCGAACGACGCTTGTTGTGCAGCGTCCCCGGCATACATCTGATACTGAACGACGTTCATGGGTGACATAGTATTCACGTCCTGCCAGGCGGGAAATCCCATTGCTGCAGGGGCACCAGCATACGTTACTGCAACTGGCGTCCCTTGAAGGTCCGTCGGTGGAGGACTCTGCGGATTAACATGGTTGCCCGGGAAAGGATGTATTGGGCTGGCCATATCGGAGCTCATATCTGGGGGAGGTTGCTGGAATTGGCCGGGGTTGGGGTAGGGTGCCGCAGCCATATCCGGTGGCGGAGGGTAGGTCATAGGTCGTGTTGGGGGCACTTGCCATACTGATCCATCCGGTTGTATAGCATACGTCGGCGCGGGACTGAGCGTTTGCGGTTGTGATGGGACTGTCGGGGTCGGAAGCCCATGTGCCATTGGCATGGTGGCCATGGGGTTAGGTCCCGGGCTCCAAGGCATGTTCACCATCTGTGGTTTCCCTGCCGACATGTTTGCCAACATTTGACCGTCCGTTGGAATCGTGGTGAATTCATCCCACGGTACGGAGGGATCGAGGGGCGGTGCTGTTGCAAACTCAGGAGCCCCTACATTGCGATCTAACTTTGTTAACAAACCTTCTTGCCCTTCGAAGGAGAAGATCACCACCCACCTGGCGCAAACGATGTCATGGAATTTCCAGCGAACGCTCCGGCGTTGAACGCCGCGACATCTGGGGCGGAACTCAACGGTATTGGCTGGTAAGGGAAAAAGGCCTCGGTTTGTTCCCCCCCGCTCACTGCCGGCGGGGAGGACGAGGCGGTTGATGGATCGGTCGACGCCGTGTTCGAACCTGGGCGAGCTTTCTTTTCGATTGGCGGCTGCTGATCAACTGGGAAGAACTGGCACTCCTTTTTCAGTCGAATACAATTCTCACATCGACCTTGAGCGTCGTCCGCCGCCACCAGACATCGTATCTTTCGTCGCCGACAATGCACTGTGGGATGATAAGCAACCGAGGTTTACGAGGGGATAGCGATGCTCAAGGGCGGAAAAGAGAAACTGACCACATGCGACAGACGTGCGATGATACCCGAGCTTATTGCGCTTCTTATCTGCGGCTGTTGAGGATTCCATGATCGCGGTTTGCGAAGTGGGTGTCGAAGTCATAGTAGTTCCGACAACCGCAGGCATAGCTCCAAGGAGCAAGACAGAGAGTTAGAGCCCCGAAAGGAAGGGCGCATGAATCGCACACGGGATTTAGTAAAAAAAAAATAAGTCAAATGGGTGAGATGTACTCGATCCCTAAGGCGCGTGAAGAACTACTAGTAGTGACTGGAGAACGAAAGTCCACCCATGCAGAGCGCAAAGCGCAGGGACCGAAGATCCAGACAGAAAGGGACACACCACCCGCGGGAATCTGGGGGCGATCGGTGAAGTGTGTTGTTTTGGCTGGTGAAGTTGTCGTACGTAGACCGATTTCGCCGTTTCGCAATGTTACTCCACAGTCAATCTGGTGCGCGCAGACGATGCTAACCAACAACAATCCAGAGAATGAAGGATGGGCAATCCAGAGTCGGTTTCACACGATTAGCTCGTAGTCGGGAGGAACCGCACTAAGGGTGTAAGTATTATTTTTAATTGTTTCGTCGTCGTCGTGGCAGTCATCAAAGCAAGAGGGAATAGTTGTTTAGTATGTCGCAGGGTTGGTTGAAGGTAAATTGGCCCACGGGGACAAGGACCGTCTCCGCCCACGGGTCTGAAGGAGGTATTATAAAAGACAATATTAATAGGAGAAAGGATAAAAAATAAAATAAAAAAGCAATAATAAAATAAAATAATAATAATAATAATAATAATAATAATGGAAATATAAAATCCAGATCAGGTTGATAACTAATAGTATGCCAGGGAAAGGAGAAACCTTTTCCAGAACACGTTGAAAGGTTGGAAGAGGGAGAAAGTAAAGTAAGGTACCTCGTCGCAATGAAACCTTGGGCGTGAGAATAATTAAGAAGAAGAAAATTGGAGCCAAATGGAGAGCGATACCAATGAAGGAAAGAAAGGAAGTAAACCTGAAAGAAAGCGAGAGTGGCCCAGTGCGTAATAATCAATGAATTGCCCTACTTACACTTCGGGATCGAGGATCTCGGGACTTTTACTTCTTTTTCTTCCTTTTCACTTCTGGAGATTAATTTTATGAGTATGATTATTATTTGAATTTTTATTTTATTTTATTTTCCTCAAAGGATAGCGAGAGGGAGAGAGGGGCTTAGAAAGAAAGGGGGACAGGAAATTCAAAGCTACTAAAGGAGAATAATAATTCATCGAGGAAAATCAAAGAGACTTGAAAGGTAAAATAAAATAAAATAAAAATTCAAAAAAAAAGAAACAGAAAAGAGAGAAAAAAAGATTTAAAAATAAAAAAAATAAAAAGGAAAAAGGAAAAAGGAAAAGAAAAAATTTCCAGAGTGGATAACAGACATGAACCAAAGAGGAAAGGAATCATGAGCATAATCTGGACAGTGAATATACTAAAGATAATTATAGATGGGCAAGTGAATTGAGGATGATGAATCCCTCCCCCAGTGAATTACATACTGGATGGAGACCTTCCAGAATCAGACCCTGAATAATAAAACAGGCTAAAAGAATAGCACTATGCCCTAAACTGTGGATGAAACACCTCAATCTCTCTCGTTTTTTTTTTTATTAGAATTTTTTTTGTATTTTGCAATTAACCTAAGCAGCCGAATGTATGTGCAAGGATGATGATGATGAATGTGATTCCTATTATTATCACATATTCTAATTTATATTGAACACCCTTTCCCCAGATAGATTCTAATCAACCCACTCCGGTGACATGGGTTGGAAGTCTTGTCAGGAACAATGATTGGAATGTGGCTGTGGAACGCCATTGGCCCTGTTGATACATTAGACCCAAGGACTAGGTCCCTTTCCTGTCTTTCTTTCAGGCTGGAATGAAAGGGTTGCCAAATGCCTCTTTGAAATTCGGTTGTCTGATGCTGTACCCTAATACTTTGTACTATTATGTGATTGCTTGCAATCTCCCCATTTCTACTGTTCCTAATACATAGTTCTCCGTGAGAGATATAAAACTCGTCAATATTCCATCAGGCCATCGGATATCCCCCCCCCTCTCTCTCCCCTGACCTTCTCCAGCCACTCCAGGTGGTGGTTCGTCCCAAATCAACGCAACCATGGTCCCAGAGGCCTGTGACAGACATCTGTAACAGGATTAGTGGGGGATGTGGGGGTTTCTTTTTCCTTCGAGTCTTTCGCCAGGCATGTTTTCCCCCATAACTCCCCCCTCTCTCCTCCCAGTGGGTTGGTTAAGGGGCCAAGAAAGGTTGAAAGGGTAAATAAAATATTTTTTTTAAAAATTAAATATAAAAAAAAAGGAAAATGAATCTCCATCGGTAAAAATTCAGATACCTGAAAAAGTCTACGACCTGTCAATCATGGGGAATCGTGAAGGGGAGAAAAAAAGATGGGGGGTTGAATTGGAGCCTGACTCGAAGACATTAAATTTAACTCCCTCGTTTGGCCAGAGCCCTACTGGTCGTGATTGGTGAAGGGTTCATGGGGCTTGCTGTGAGTGAAGCCAATAAGGCGATGCCTTGGCGTAGGTGAGCTTCCCCTTTGGGTACTGAGAAGTTTGGCTGCGCGTTCAGGAAACTCAAAAAGGTTTAGCGGGCAAGTCGAAACGGACCCTCGAAACTTTGCTGAGCTTCGAGAAGCCCTGGAGTCGTCATCGTTTTTCTCTGGTTCACCAATCAGCGTCGATCGAACAGCCCCAGGCATGGGGCAGGGACTAATTTCATCGTCATCCCAGTCAGTGGATGGGGGATTCCACACGATGTATTAATGAGGATGAGCGTTTCACCTTTATCTTGATAATATTTTATTTTATTCTTCTCTCTTTTTTTTTTTTTAACTCTTGTCGCGCATTACGGTGGTTTGAGGTTGCTACAAACAAATATATTAATTTCTGGACTACATTGCAAAACAAGCAATTCTGTTTTATTGCATTGGTCGGAAATATCACACCCTCTCCTGCAGACAATATTGATCACCGTGCATACTTTATCCAACTTTTTGTTTCTCTGGAGTACAGATCTGTCAGAAAGGGGTGGGCCGGTCAAGGTTTAATTAAGGATCATATCTGCATCTTAGGGCGTCTGGCGATTCTTGGCTTTAGTACACTTGTTCTGTAAGGGACTTTGACAAAGAAAAGTAAAAGAGAAAAGTAAAAATAAAATAGAATAAAATTAACACCACTACCGATGGAAATTGATATACAAGCTATATTCTTACAGCAATCATGTAGGATATAATAATAGCAAATATAAAAAGCCTCACGGTCCTTCCAAGTAAATTAGCCGTTGCCCTATGGCTTCCAAGTCCAATTGATTGATAACTAATAGAATGACACACAGCGCACCACCTCAGCACAGACTTAAGTCATCACCGATATTACGAAGGGTAACAATGCAACTCTAGTCTCCTCTTTATAGTAGGTATGCCCAACGAATATATCAATATCTCCATCACCGTTACATTATCAATGCCACCTTACGAATCACCTCCGTCAGGAAAGTCAATCTCTAACAGGATGTACGCAAGTATGCGTTATTATTATTATTCAGTATTATTATCATTATCATTTCCTGATTTGTATTCGCGTATTACGACCAGCCAAGAACCCCCAATCTCCCACACGACTAGGTCCCCATAGATATGGAGTACAGAATTAGGAGCTCCTGTTCAAGCAAGCGATAGCGAAGCTCAAGCATTGCTTAATCTCAGGGTCCACGGAGAGTGTCCGCGGGCATCCGCGCTTCTACGTAAGTGAGGGAGAACCAGAGATTAGACTCGGGTCTTAATTTAGTCTGCATCCAATGCCCGACCACTTAACGCTTTCGGCAGTCTGCCGATGAAACTGGCCTTTTTTTCCCCCCCTCTCTCTTTCATTTCCTGCAAGCGAAACCCGAACCCATATGAGGAGACGTTGATTTAGTTTCTATACATAGTAAGGTCGTTCCTTTAGCGTTCTCCTAATTAGGACAGGAACCTCTTGAGATCACGATTAATGAGGATGACGTTGGTCGATGATGAGGATGATGCCATTCGAGTTATGACTTAGTCTTGGTCATTTCTACGTATCCAGAGGTTAAAGGAGGAAGTTTTATACCAACGAAGTATCATCTCCGAGTATCAATCGAATAGGATTTTCCCCTTGCTTACTTTTTCTGCAAGATTGTTTTTTTTTGTTGCTTCACTGTCTCGCCTCGTATTGCGGAGGAAAGGACCAGCTGGGAAAAGATGGGAAGAGAAAAAGAAAACCAAAAAAAAAAGAATAATTAATACAAAATCTCGAATAAAATCAAATCAAGTTGAACCAAAAAAAAAAATAACTCCTAAAAATTGTGGCTGATTTATAGGAGGAATTGCTATAGCCCAGCGTGAAAATTCCTCGTTTGGTCAGTCTGTGCAGTGGGATCGGGGCGATATACGTAAGCGACGTTGACAAGATCGCCGAAAATTAATCTATCATTAATCTATCGCTAATGTCCACTCCAAGATGAAACAAACGGGGGGTTAATATATCGATGAGCTTGTTTGTCTCATTGGATATGATTCTGTACTAAAATACAGCCGCCAGATTCTCTCCCAGAGCAATGAATGTACTCCGTATGTACTCTGTATAGGTACTAGTAGTAGGGTTCCGGATATATCTACTTTGACCATGCAAGAAGTAATTTAAAGTATGGAGATGAATTACTATAGATAGAACCCCTACTTTCCTGACACATGGGCACACTCCGTTTCAACCCTCGGTAAGACTCCCTCCACTTTCTTGCTGCTGCAGGGACTAAAAAATCCATTCTCATTCACCACCTTATGTACCTCCAGAAATTCTCCGAGGATAAATCTTCCTTTCCGCCAATGATTGGTGGCCTCGGAGGTTTGCCTCACCAAAACGGCATCTCTCCAAGGCAGGATTTTTAGTCCGATCCCAACTCCACGAACCCTAAGTCAAAACTAACATACGGAGTTCTCCGTTGGATCCCTAACCAACAACGATGGCTTGTTTTCCACAGTAGTTTAATAAGTACGGTACTTCTTAGTGCTACGGATCCAACTGTAACTTAATCCACGACTACTCGAACAAAAAAAATACCCAACAAGAAAATACCATCTTCTCGTGCCCGGACCTAACGACCGATTCAGACTAGAACCTTGTCATAGTGCAATGTCATCCTCCTTCGAATCGTAGTCCCATGGTTGATAATTTCCCCTGAGGCTTCTAGGGTCCTTCTGGATGCTTGCACATGCTTGTCATGGAATGTCGATCGGCAATGGATCGTCTTGTCCTACGAACCACCGTTCCTTGGTCACCATCGGTGGTTTACACCCATGCATCGCATTCCCATTAGGGACGGTATCCGGCCCATCCAGCGCGAAACGGACTTTCTGCCGTACACGGTAAAACCAGCTTTTGCGCAGCTGAGGTGTACTCAGAGTAATTCGGCCGGTGAACTTGGCGCAGCGCATCCTTCATGTCCGTCTTAATTTCACCTGGATAAACCAACCAACTCGCATGGATTACAGTACCTGCGTCTTGTTCAAAAAAAAAAAAAATCTGGCAACCCCATTGGCCAAACTACTTATCAATCTTCCGCTCAGGAAAAACGTGATCCTCTTCCGTAATCCTTCCCATTCCACCCCCTTATCGACGAAGCACTCTTTAAGTCTTAACGCCCATTGCCTGCGGAAATATGACCCGCATCGTTGGTGTCTCTGGTCAACGATCTAGACAACTAACCAACACCAACCCAAGCCCCATAATGGTCCATGATAACTATGCCGGAACAGGAACGCAATGAGCGGAACTACCCGCCTCAGGGACTGATGTCTTGCACCCTGTGTCAATCGAGCAGCTCGAGTCTAGTGCTAGCTTAATTTCATCACATAATGCTCAGATTCAGAGCTTCGGTGAGGTCTCCACTCGGAGGGGCCGTATCCAGCACGCCTGGTCCATGAGCGAAGGTCGCGGTAGACTATCGGGTATATTCCGTGGTTGACTGCCGGGGACATTTGTCGGTGAGGTTAATACTTGTCGTTTTATTAGGGCGTCGAGTTCTTGATCTATTTCGGTCGCGGACCGGCTACTGCACTACACCTAAGCCGTTACTAGTGAAGTGCAACTGGGCAGCCTTGTCAGTTTGCTTGCGATGCTTTGACTCAGATTTATGTGGATGAAAAGTCAGAAGACGATGAGAGGGTCTACACGATTTCATTCAGACACTTCTGTGATTCGAGCGAGTCTCTTTCTTGAGATCATCGTTCAGAACATGTGCATATAACGTACAATATGGATACGAAAGCACATATCCCAAACCACAAAAGAACAATAACTCGGAATACACTGGGATCAGAAACCAACCAGACACCTGAATGAAATCCAACTCTTACAGATTTTGTTGTTCTTGTTCATGCGTGTTATGGGACTGCCGAATCTGTCTGCCTGATTAGGCATCCCCATTTGTGCAGAACGCCCCCATATCAGTATCCACTCGATCTGAAAAACATGTCTAGACGCAAGACAGCTGGATTTCTGTCATCAACAACGAACAAATGGAGGCGAGCTGGTTATACTTAGACCCTAGCGTTGTCAACTGTGAATCTTGTTAACAATCCAGCTAGGACTGATTCCAAGGAAGGGATAGCATGAATGAAATATGCTTACGCTTAGCCACTTTCTGCAGACAAAGTTTTGTACTGTTCGAGTTGTCAAGGGATGTATAACGACTACTCCCATCATACCACGGACACTAGAATCCTGAGGAACAAGTATCAGTCCAAGAACTTGAAACGGTCTTTATCCCAGACAACACCGTGGAACTTCCAATATCTGCACGACAGTATACGACCAGATCTACAACGGACAGTGTATACCAACATTCCCAATTCAACTCGGAGGTAAAATACTAACACAAGAACTACACCAGCTCATTCATACTTACTGGATCTAACATCACCAGTATACATTACTCTACCTTCAACCAGACCAACAACTACATAATACCCTCGCAGCGAGGAAAACTCAACAACAAAGACCAAGGAAATAACCCACCCCCAAACACTCCTTTACTCTTACCTTACTATGAGTACATCAACATCCCTACCTCTCTCACCAACACACCAAAACCCCCAAATTAAAGCACCACCAAAAAACCTAGATAAAAACTAACCCACACCACCCAAAAAACTACAAAGGAAAGAAAACAACAGAAGCAGTAGCAGCAATGCACCAATAGCCATATCAGGTTAACCCCCTTCCCCCCCTCCACAAAACTAAACCCAAACCCACAGTTACAACACCACAAGTTAACACCAAAAAGCCAAAGCAAAAGTAAATTAAAAGCAAAAGCCACGTAAGGAACCCTCCTCCCACACCACGCCAACCACAAATTCAAATCCAAAAAATACAAATACACATAAACCTCCCCCCCCCCCACCCCCACCACTCTAGCCTCTATAGTCCACATGCATTCCATTGAAACGCAGAACATACCCGAATCGAGTCAAGTGCCCGGCCATGGTGAAACGACGAAGGATTCCAGACTAAGGACTGGCACTAGGACGAAGGACTAGGACCTTCTTGGGTTTGGATCCATGATCCATGATCCATTGGTTTAAAAGAGGTTCTGTGTTTGGTTTAGTTTGGGTTGGTTTTCGGGAGTGTGGTTGCTTTTTACTAACCGAGGTTCTTGCTCTTTCTTTTCCTTTTTTTTTTTTTGTGTTTTCTTTTTCTAGATGTAAAGTAAGATGTAGTTGGTTTGGGCTTTCTTACTTTCTTTATTTGGTAGAGTAGTTAGTTGTACTCCGTATATTGATTTGATATGGGGTTGGAGGATGGATGGGAGTAGAAACAGGTGTAGCTTAACTAGAGCTTTACTCTGTATAACTTCGCTTGTGTGATCGATGGAGTAATATGTGATCTAGTATTGACTTGATGGCTTTGGTTTTGGTTCAAGATTGTTTTATATTCTTCATTTTTGACCGTTTTACATTTCCCCTTGTTCTCTGAGGCATCCTTGGTAGAGGTTGTTTCATGGTAGACTTGATACTCTCTAAGATGAATTTTAAGTCAAGTCTTGGTAGATATAAAAAAAAAAGAAAGAAAAAAGAAAATAACTAAAAGACTTATTATAATACCCATAATATATAACCACCTTCAATCCACCACAATCCCCTTCACCCCTCATTCTATATCACTACCAACTACAATATTAAACCCACCAACGGATGAACACTTATCAGATCTCCTTCAAACCAGGTAGCGTCTGAGTAGACGGATACGGAGACCGATTGACACCGCCATCCACGCGCAGGACGACTTTCACGCTAATGGCTCTGGCTTCTCTGATGCAGCACGCTAGACACGTCCGTCCGACTCTGCCAATGAGAGCATCATATCCAAGTGAAGCGCACCACGCTCGGGCGAAGGTTTCCCTTTCGTGACCGCCACGCGCATCGACGATGAGCACTTCGTGCTTCCTGTGATGGTTGCTGTGGTTGCTTTGGTGGTTGCCGTCGAGGAAAGCGTCGTCAGGGACATTGTGTTCGGGGAGGGAGTCCAACGAGATGTGTTTGTATTTGTACCCGCTGTGGAGAGGATGGCCTGGGAGACGGTGGTGGTGTCGGGGACTTGAACTGCTGGACGGCGTCGATGTGCCACTCCCAGTGGGGCATGCGCAGTGATACGATATGAAGTTGCCCGGTGGGCGGCATTCGTGAGATGTAATGAAACGGACGTTGTATCTCAATTGAAAGGAGACTTTCCAGGGTGAGTCAGTCCCTGAGGCGATCGAAAAGGTCATAAGGGTCCTGGCGGCGATGGGATGCGGCGTGCTTTCTAATGACTGCCCGCCTTTCCCAGAAAATGTCAATGTCTCGAAGCTGACTTTCTTCAGATCTTTCTCCAACGGGGCGTCCATTGGTAGGGAGAATGCACCGCTGACTCGCTCACCACGGCCAAGTGGTGTCGATTCATACGCTAATTTATTCCCCTGGCGGATGCGCGGCTTTCCAGGCATTGACAGGGATGGTTGAACAGAAACTTCGAACCATGAATTGTCCAGCGGCTGAACTGTCCAAGCATCTTTGGGCACAACCGCACTCCTTATCCATCCCAGACACTCTTTGGTATCTTCCAGACTGGCCAGGACTCGGCCGACGACACACTCTTTGCTCCACCAAGTCATTCCTTTGTATGCGAACCCACCATACAGGTTTGCAATGGACCCTAGGCTCGCAAGAGCATCTGGATCATTTTCCAATATCGTAGCCATGAGCAGATGGCTGATTTGCTCTCCAGGGAATACAAAGCCAGACAGCCAGCTCCGGGTAATCCAACCACCAAGCTGCACAGAAGCCGTCTGATCTTGAGAGCAGTGGAGGACTATCCAGCGGCGGGATGGGCTTCTGGTATGCATTTCCTCTTTCCTAAGAGGCGCGCCAACTTCAGCTGGCAGCTTATTGTGCACGGGCTGTTCATATGCATGAGCGACTGTATCACTCAGTTGACCTGACCCAATGGCAGAGTTCAGGCGCGCTCTGAGTCCATCGAGTCCTGGCCAGCCGATTTCTTGACCAAACACAAGTAATCCTTGAAGCTGTTGGTCGAGATATGTTGGGACCAGGCTGCAATTCCAGGCTGATTCGGTGGACTCGGCGCTTGAGCCGGACAACGATCTGTGGAGCAAATTTTCGAAGAAAGAGCGAGGATTCTTCTCATGGTTTCTTTCACCCCTCGAGTGACCCGTTTGTTCTACGGGGTCGACGCCAGGTTGATCTGGCTCGTCGGCCCTGTAGCTGATGTCGAATGTGTCCATAAAGCGTCGTACCACCACCAAGTCCCAGTCTACTTTCCCGCTTCGTAGTTTCTCGAAATCATCTACGTCTTTGGCGGTGATCTGTAACTCCTTGGAATTCTCTAGGATCCCCACCCGGACCGTAGCATCAAGACGGAGAAGCAGTTCCGCGGCGAGGAGCATCTGGATAAGGAGCCACCGGCGCTCGAGCGTTGGATGCATCCAGGGTTTTGAGCACGTAGAAGGGTCCAAGAGATCACCGTCCGGATGAGGACCGGCCCCCCACAGCAACTGTCCTGCATATAACCGCCATTCAGGGAGACTGAAATCCACCCACGCGCCCCTTGTGGCGAGGGTCATTGTCAAAGACTTGATTTGAGATTTGAGGCTATGAGCCAGGCTGGAGTCTGCGAGCAGAGGTTTGGAAGGAGGATAGAGGAATTTAGTGAAGAGGCCGCTGTACAAGTCCCGGGTAGATTCGGTATCCAGGATTGTGGTTGCTTTCTTTCCGTGTAACAGTTCGCGACGGAGATCTGTTAACGTCCGCAGGCGTTCCACTAAGCATTGTAGATTGATGTCCCGTACGCCGATCTTTTTCCAGGCCGATGGGCCATCACAGAGTAACTGGTGCCGGTCATATGCAGCGCCTCCAGGCAGTGCATAAACGTCATGATAATGCTCCATCATTTCATATATCTCCGAGGCCGGAATCGAGGAAAGCTGTATGTAATTCAATTTCGTCTTTGGTTTCTCCGGGTAGCGCACAGCATCTGCCACCGGGAGCTCTAGGAAATAACGAAACCCAACCGCTCCTGGGTCCTTTCCGTTCATTGACAGCATGTTTGGTACTTCAAAAATCCCAATGTCGAACGTCGCTCTCTTGGCGCCTCCGGTCTTTCTCCAACTATTGAGGTGTATCGGCTCATCTTTGGAGATTACCCACCTGTCAGGAACAGGTAGGTGGGCATGCAATGTACATAGAGTATACGACGGATGAGGTAGTGGCTTTCTGTCCCACAGATTCTGAATAGTAGGATCGTGGTCATCGAAGGGGAAGATCACCTGTGGGTAATGATGATCATACTTACCCCTTTCGAGGAGGAAAAACGGGGCTCCCGAGAAAAGAGTCTCGATATCTTCTTTGCTAAGAGCATATTCAGATGACGATGTAGCCTCATGTTTACCCTCATGGTTGTGCTCCTTTGCAGGTGAATTACGCGCCTGCGGGGAGCTCTGGGAACCCGTGTGGCCTTTAGCAGCTGTTGTCGTGGATTGTTTAGGTTGGTTTGCATGAGTCTGTTTCTACAGTCAGATCCATTTCAAATTCTAAATGAGACTATCTTGACGAAAAGTAATAAGTCATCAAAAGGAAGGCCTACAGTATCATGACCCCTCTCCACTGTCGACATCTCCATTTCTGAATCATCTCGATGTCTCCGGAATAGATCTTGAAAAACATTTCTGTCATGAGCGCCACGAGTCTGACTCGGCGCATTCGGAACAGATGCCCTTCTTCTCAATCTCGAGTTCGGATTGCTAGGCACGCCATCGTCCTCTGCGGGCGCACCAGAGACAGAATGCCGACGGCCGAAAAAGAAAGCCATCGTCTCTTTGGCTTCGATTCGTAGTGATGTAGCTTGTTTTGTATGCTTATACCTAGTTTATAGCTGAGAAAGGAATTCTCTGGCTGTTCGGCATGCCGAGGTAAGCCGGTTATATGTTGGTGCCCAAAGACAAGCGGATCCTCAGCGCGGGAACTGGCTGTCAAGCGATATCCTCATTTACATGGTGAAGAAACAATTCTTGAATACGGCGCTTCATATATAAATAGCCCTTGTATTGTTATTTCAGGGACAATCCAGGGCCTAGAACAAAGGAAGAAGTTGAGTTGAACAGTGAGGGGAGGTGATAATCGATGACGTCGGGCAAATCACGGGCCGGCTGATGTTACCTGATCCAGTAGGAGGAACCTCCGTTTATCTTCATCGCATGACAAGGAATGGGGCAATCAAACATCCGACTCCCGAAGTTGATACACTAACCGGGCCGAATTGCATTTTAATATACGGAAATACAAAATATACCTCAAATCGAAAGTATTGTGACATAGTCTAGTATATCGAGGTTGATAGACACTGGTGTCAACCCAATCCCCAGTATCTAGATTACATACGCCCACCAGTGTTCTAAGAAAAAGGTGAATCAAAAAGATGTGCCATTTTTTCTTTTGAGCAAATTAGACTAAGAGAACATCAAGGCATCAGTCATTAGATTATTTCGAAGTCCTCCAGAGGTATTTAGTCCAATTTCTTCCCTTACGCGTGCTTGTGGAGGAATTCCAGAGCAGTCTTGTATCCCCTTTCATACTCCTTGCGAACTTCAGCATCCTCGAGGTTCGAACGGGCTGCCATCCAGCCGTGGATCTGCGTGGAGAAAGTCTCAACGTAATTCGCGACCGTCAGGTTGGAGCCGAAATCCTGGACATCCTTGGGGTTCTCATCCTTGGATGCAAGCACGGCCATGGGGATAGTGACCGACTTCGCATCAGCAGGGTCGAGCATAGCGGGGTGGCACTGCACGGCGGCTTTGAAGATCTGGTTGTCCTTGCTCGAGGCCAGTGCGGTGATCTTTCCACCCCAGCAGTAGCCCAGGATCGACCAGGACTCGAACTTGCCGTTGGGGGCGAGCTTGTTGGCTTCCGACACAACGCTTGGGATCTTAGAAAGGGTGCTTGGGGGGGCGGCCTTAGTCTGGAAGAAGTTGCCGAGCTTCTGTTTGTGGTCATCGTTCTGGGGAGGGAACCAGGTGATGTCGGCGGGCTGGCCTTCAAAAAAGTCGGGCATGAAGACCCGGTACTTCTGCTCGTTGGCAGTGGCGAGGATGTCGGCACCCTGGATGGTCTGGGGAAAGAAACCGAAGATGTCTGTCGGCTTTTCTTAGCCATATATGTGCGGGGTGTAGCCGATGAGTAGATTTTACGCACCATAGATGACCAGGATAGCCTTGGAGGCATTTTCCGGGCCAGTGATGTCTGGGAGTTGTTAATAAACAAAGAATATTATACCAAGCCATCTAGAGTGAAACCTACACGTCTTCAAGCCATTGAGGGTCTTGTATTCACCCTTGGCCTGGTAACCCTTGGGGACAATGGGAGGGATACTGCGAATTATTAGGATAGTCCGATGATGCCCATCTAAACGGAAGATATGACTCACGAGCAACAGGCTTTGCTAACACCAGACATGGCGGCAGAGGAGCAATGAACTGGTCGAAATGAAGATGGCGGGGTTTTCACCGAGGAGAGAGACCTTCGCAAAGGAGATGTTAGAAGCTGCTTGTAAAACATATTTAGTGAGGAAATAACGCACAAAGAACCAAGATAGGACAATCGGCGGCTGCCTGACGTGTAGTAGTCAAATGATGAGGTTGTTGAGTATGGTAAGAGAGTGAATTCGAGGGGAGAACGCAGGAAGGCCGGTGTTTTTTGATTGAAGTATCCGAGGTATCGGTTGGACCCCACCTGGACAACCGACGTCATCGCCGCGACATCTCAGCCGCGTCCATTCAACTTAACTTTGATATCGACCCATTTCTCGATAATAGCTTATATTTTAAGTATGTAGACGCTCAGAATTATATTCCTATACATTATCTTATTCGATGTCATTCGTGAGGACCGACTTGGAGCCATGAATAATTTATTCTTCTTCTATGCTGGATGAACGAATATCCGCTATATGTGGGGTTCTCATACACTTACCCACAGCACTTTCTGCCGTATGCTGGAGAACTGCATTTATTCAATCCGGCTCAGAATGTCATTCCTTGAGTAAGTCAACCTATGTGCAAAGGCTCATAATATCGGTAATACACGTATATCTTCGACACATTCGTTTACTCGCATTTAGAAGATAACCAGTAGCAACCGTTACACCATATCAATGAAAACAACGGGCTTACTGGTATGCTAAAAGCTTCTCAAGCCAGTATAGATTGTCCAGCTGAAGCTGAATTGAGAGACTAGTCGGAATAAAATAGTTAGTATGAATCTTCGGTACTGCGGAGGGTGCGCATCTGTCATAAACCCTTTATCAGACACCCCCTACGATAACTTCAGAAACGAGTCGTGATATAACAGTCATATTCAGACTACAGCCATAGTTCTATACCTAACGGACAGGTAAAATAAAAAGGAAAACGTATGAACCATATGCCCATGTCCATTCATGTAGCGTATACTCATGCCACCCAGCACCACCGTCATGCTTACCCCCATAAGAACACTCATAAGTGTATCACTGATAGTAGCACAACGCCACCAGTAGCTCGCACGTCACCCATCAATACCATCAATACCCCTTCTCCCCGGGGAGCCTCACATCCTCCCAACCCCGTCCATCCCCAATACCAGGCAAACTCTCCTCCCTCCGAATACCCTTCCACTCAGTGACATTCATCCACCCAATCCGCTGGAAACCGCCGAAGCCACCAATCCAATAAACCTGAGTGACAACCATGCGGACCCAGTGGCTCCTGTGCGGGGAGCCCGGTCGCTCCGGCAGCCACACCCGCGCATCTGGGTGGGCTTTAAGATAGCAAGACCGGAGAGCCGCCTCCGTGTCCTCCGGGACAGGGGACGGGAAGGACTCGACGTACCCGAAGAGAGTAACACGGGGAAGACCGGCAGGGCTGAGCGGGAACCCGGGCCAGAGCGGCTCGGTCTCGTTCAAATGGTCCCACCAATCGAGGGTGATGCTCATGTTAGAGCCTGCAGCAGTGTTACGAAAGGTAGTTTCGACTTCAAGGGCGAGGAAGGTCGGGTCGCCGTTGCCGCCGTGGCCGCTTGGAGGGGGAAGGGCCGCGTCACAATCTGAGATGTATTCTTTCTGGCTGATAGACAGGCCGGCCACAGCAGCTGGGACGTGGACATCCTTGGGTGTGTGAGAGAAGATGGTGGATGCTACACCGGTGGTTGAGAGAGCGAGCAGTCGGCGGGCCATGAGGGTGGAGGTGAACCATGATGGTGCGGCTTCTGCTTCTGGGCCTTTCTCGAAAATGTCGGCATTGTCCTCGGGGGTCGAGGGAAGGTTGTAGGTGTCGCCGAGGACTGTCTGGTCGGGGGAGGCATTTTCGGCAGCTGAGAGGGGGACCGCTACAGCCTGGACGAAGAGCAGAGCTAGTGTGGAGACGAAGGCGAGACCTCGGTCAAGACCCTTCATGATGAGTCTTCGCTTTGAATGTAAATGGATAAGCCTGTAGGGTAGATATGTCAAGCAGAAATGGAGCTTATAGGAAAGGGATATGTAAAGGAGGAAGCTACGCCAAGAATCCTCCCCTCACATGAGACTCCGGATGGTCTGATGATGAGGGTGACAGTGAGGGGAACTGCAACAACGCTGGATCTGATCTTATCTGATCACGCTAGGACATAAATAGCTAAGCGTGCTGTGCACCTGACTAGCGCAACATCCGACTCCATCCGGAGGTTCCGGCACACTCCGACGTTGATGCCTGCCTCAGGCTGCCATGGATGACAATGACTCACCGGTAGTTTGCAGCGCCACTCGATCCTCACCGAAACACAGAGAACTAGAATAGCTCTTTCAGTGACTCATGATCTCTTATCACGAGACCATGTCAGACAGTAGCCTAGCGTGAGAACACTAGAGGCTACTACCAGTTGGTTCCATGGCTTGCTTGTCTCCTTGCATAAGGCCTTACGATCGGATTAGGACGATGATGGCCTCAGGCAAAGGAGGCATCAGGATCAAAGCCCTGGACCAACGAGTCTCACTCACACACAATGGATGGAAAGAACTCTTTCAAAGAATAGAATATGCATTGTAGAACACTGAATCCGCCGCTACACCGTCGACCGAGATGACAAAAAAAACCAAAAGAACAAAAGCACAAAACGAATAAAACCTGCCATTGCCGCACACTCCAGTTCATGATAGTAGTAGTAGTAGTAGTAATAGTAATAAATATCCACGATATGGAACAAAATAAATGATAAAAGATAGTGATAAAACCTCCCCGTCATAGATCATACACAAGTGGACTGCGGGTTACAGGGCCACTGCACCAGACAGAGGTGGGCGCAGACTCCGTCGCAGAATTCCAACCAAATCCAACCAACACCAGGGTATATACAAGACGAGAAATTTTTCCCGACAAAAGAAGACATGAGATAAGTTCACACAAAACTTTTCCCACCGGATATCTGCGTTTCCGCTCTCTGTGGGCGTTGAGGCTAAATCAAGATCACTCGGTCGACGAGTTCAAGGATCGATAAGGATATTATGCAATAAACAATAACTTTTCCTTTCTACAGAAAAAAGAAAAGAAAAGAACAGAACAGAAGGCGAACCTGTCCATTGCATAAAAAAATTCCGTCCAGCGAACGAATCTAACCCAGGTAGTCTGCCCGCACGCTTGGGTTCAGTGCAATCTTTCTCGCTTCACTGCCACAGCACGCACGCTTCATGCCTGCCGGTCCAGAAAGTGGAACGTTGTAATTAAGAGCGTGCAGTTGGGCAGCGGTGAGAGACTGAGTGCGTCTAGGACCAGCGTTCAGGAACAGATCAGTCATGTTTCCATCAGGCAACACAGTGCCCTCCGTGATGGTATTGGAGTGCATCAAGTGACGGACGTGGTTCTGCAACGCGAAATCGTCCGATCCGGCGCGACCACGTTTCCGACACTGACGCTGGTTTCCACTCTGCTGATTCGTCTGAGTAGCACGAGGAGCGGAACCAGACAACGCACAAAGGCTCTGGGCAGCCTCATGAGCGGATGTCATATCGACAGGAATTCCCAATGAGTATTTAGACAGCTCCAAAACATGTCCAGTAGAACCAGTAAAGCTTTCGGGGGACTTATAAATGTCATTGTAGGAACTTTCATCGATCGGGGATGCAATAGCCACGGCCTTCTGGTTCTCCTTCATCGAATTGTTAGTACATCTAAGGGTAGCCTGAATGGCCAGTCGGGGCAGGACCGGACCAGATGTAGTCGACGACAAAGAAGAGGACCGGGACGAGTTGGCAGACAGAGTCGAGACATCCGACACCATCGAATCCGGCGAAGACGCAGAAGAGGTCGAGCGAGCCAGAGAAGACCGGCGTACCATAGTCGGGTAGCCATCAAGCGAGCCAGTCTTCGGGCAAAACGGAAGTGACGGGCGCTGGTCGAGAGTCGACCGCGCCATGCACATGTTTTGCGCCTGGGACATGGCAGCGCAGAAATAGCGCCGGTGAGATGAGAAAGAGCCAGCACTCGCAGCAGGAGTGGAGGCCATGCTCGACTGGGGCGTCAGCTGCGGGGTAGGCAGCGTAGGAAGCCGTGGCAACGACGGAAGGGATACATTGAAGCTGTTAGCCCGAGAGGCTTGCTCGAGAGTTGTAGGAGTCCGTTTAAGAATAGACGCCTCCGATGGGAGGGTGGAAGGCTCGCTCGCGAAAGTAGGGAAAGAGCCTCTCATGGAGGTACCACGAGGAGACGGAGAGCCTACCATCGATCCGGAATCGGAACCTTCCATGCTTGTGGGGGTCATCGGCTCAAAATCAAGTTCTTCCAACTCAGGAGTAAGTCTTGGAATGACTGTCTGCCAAGTCTGGCCTTCGCCAGACATGCCACCAGCACCAGGAGTATACTTCAACACAATATCCGTCCACCGCTGGAAAGTGGCTTCGGGAATGTGAAGTTTCCAATCCACTGCTTGCAGGAACATCAACTCGTTCTGGTTGATCTCTAATGTATTCAGACCAGAGATTTTGCTCCAAGCGCGGGCAGAGTAGTTTCGGTCCTGGAGGTATTTGGAGGCAAGAATCAGGGCGGCAAGGAACATGCGTCGACCACACTGCATAGCCCGACAAACGGGCTTACTCCGAGTCTGGTCATGGGCCAGGTCGTGACTGGGCACGTGGGGCTTGATCTTAATCAGATAGTACAAAGCCACTTGCAACGTGCTATAACTGGTCCGGGACCGGCGGAGCGTCTCCTGGATGAAGGTGCGAAGAGGCAAAACACCTTTGCAGCCTGTGGTTGCATCACTTCGGAGCGCTACTGCGGACAAGGGCCAGATGGTCTCGACGATCTGCGACGCGGTGTCTTCATAATAAATCTTCAGCTATGGGATCATCCCCGATAATATCCGACTGCACTTACCGACGAGGTTGTCGACGAAATTCACTTTCCGCTCCGACTGACGCAGCAGACAGGGCGGAGGCCGCGCGCAGGACACGCCGTTGGACTGGATACCGCTGTTTGTACGCCGCGGATGTTTACGTAATTCCGGAGGGACAGCCACATCCGTAGCCTTCATAACGTTACCCCTCAAGGGCGCACGCGAAGGGCCCAGTCCCCTTCCTGCTGTTTGGCACTCACCGTCATTTTCCCAGATGACATCAACCGGGTTCGTCGAGGCGGAAGAGATGGATCCGTGGGAGGACACCCCATCGAGAGAGAACACCGACGACGAAGAGGAAGATGCGGAGGAGGAAATCGACGATGCATAAGGGTGCGCATACGACGCTTTGTATGAAACACTAGGGTTTGGATCTTTCAAACCCAAAACGTCAATCCCTGTCATATTCCGGGGAGCTATCCAGATGAATGACCTGATTTACTTCAAGTAGCAAGTAATTCAAATGACCAATCAGGTGGACGGCAAACTTGTGTGGAGTAAATCCGACGCAAGACCAAGATACGGCAAGGTGCGCTCGTTCAAAAACCGTGAGAAAATCAAATATACCGTTGTGCAATAACCGTTAACGAGACGCTGTAAGACAAGAACCGTCTTTTATTCACAGGCGACGGCAGGCCTTCGAGAAACAATTCGCCAGGGTGTATGGGTATCAAAAAAAAAGGGGGTGGGTCGATCGGAGGTTATAAGGTCATTCAACTCTTGTTGGATGTCAAGATAAGGTCGGATAAAGGGTGAGGACGTATATCGGGGTTCAAAGTAGGACGTATGAGGTGTAAAGGATCGAGAGGAGGCGCAAACAAATAAGATTGTACCGATCACCGGGTGTAGATTCCAGTGCAGATCAACCGAAGTAACGTACGACAAAAGACACGTAGAAAGCGTATCGGGTCCACGCGACTTCCAAGACGACAGGTGCTGTGAGAGTCAAATCGATCTAGATAAGAGTAACAGGCTTGTCGGACTTTCGGAGATCAAAGGCGGAGGATTCTGCAACACTGGTGACCGGAACAAAGTATTTCGAAACAACAAGGTACATCTTGATACTGTGGGGAGTATGAAGTTATAAAGAAGAGCCGCTACGACGGCAGACTGTTAGCAAGCAGGCAGATCCACTTCTGTAGACTGATGCTTGTCCAGGCAGTCAGCTGTCTGTCAAGAGGCTCTTAAAAGAGGCGATCGACTATAGTCTGATGGCGAACAAGTACAGTCAGCAACTATGGAAGTCCCCAGTTTTCATATGCTTATGACTCTTCCAGTGTCAGGGAACCGCAGGGTGCGCTGCCTATTCTTCGGAGGGCGGAGCGGTAGACTAGGGAAATGACTAACTGGGGGGCGACCCAGTCAGAAATCAGGAAGTGGAAGGGAAGAACAGGCAAAAGGGGGATGGCGAAATTTCAAGATTAGGAGGAAATTTGACCAGTGGCACCAGGGAAAGAGAATGATATGAAAGGGAACGTGACTAACAGAAGATTCTCTTGAGGGAATGGGGGTTACTCACTTGTGGCAAGAGTGGCGGAAACTGAGGAACAGGGCGGACCGCAGGGACCACGTTTTTTCTGCCAAAAAGAACAAGCTTGAGAAAAATGGAAATCAACTGATGGAGCGGAGAGGAAAATGACAAAAAAAATAAAAACAAGAAAAATCGATTAATAGTCACAAAAATAAATCATATGGGATAGGAGAGAAAAGGAGGGGGAAAGATGACTCTTCAAAGAGGAAAAAAAGAGGTCGTCTGTCCCTTCGTCAGAAAGGATGACTGGTAGAGGGAAAAAGGAAGAGTAGGAAGAGGGAGAGAGGAAGAGACGGCGAGAGGCAGTTCAATCAGCCTTGTTGGCGGTAGTGTTCTGAGTCGTACAGTTACGGCGACGGCAGGCGGTACTTAGAGGTTCAGGGCGCAGGGACGATGATCGGGAACGGATGATACAGTATGACTCTTTCACGTCCACCCGAGATAGGGATTTCTGGGCCCGAATTGGGCATTTCATTGCAAAGATCCGCTTTTTTTCTTTT